ACCTGAACACCAGTGAAAATGTCTGTGGGGTGATTGTAAACATGCTTTGTGAGAAGATATCCTCAGAGGTTCTTAGAAGTTGAAGTTTGCAGAAGAGAAGGAGACAGTCCATCAGCTGGATGTTCTGACACATGTACATACTGTAGAACTGTATAAAAACACACACTGGTGATCCTGACTGACCTAAAACAGGAAGTGTTTAGTCTGATTTAATGTCAGGTAGTGAGAAAATAAAAGGTTTTGTGTCATCATTAAATTCACTTTGACTTAATGAAATGATGTGACTGGATCACAGTCAGGCAGCACCAGGATCAGCCTTCAAAACCAAAGTGATTTACCTGTTTTATGCCTTCCCTAAACCTACGTACAGGCTGGTTTATAAAGAACAAGGAGACAATAAAAAACAACATGGAGAGAAAACCTGTGTACCTGTGGTCTCTGTCTGTGGCCATCTGACTTCATTGTGTTCTCAGAAAATGTCCTCAGAGCACATTTTAACAGGATGAGGGACCGATGTGAAACCATGGAAACAAACCAGACAAAAACTCTCCTGGCTGAATCACTCGGGCACAATTACTCTGCTGCCTCAACCTTCTCCATTCTCTTATTTTTCTCTCCCTCGTTCAGTCCCACCTTCCTCGCCACTGAGGAGTATAGCAACAAGGCGCCCATCTCTCCTGTAGCAACCGTGACTATATGGAAAAGCACAACAGTGCTTTAACATAGATTATAGAAGATAGATGTCGTGCGAGAAGTGAAACCAGCGCACAAGTGATTTATATCTGCATTCTTTCTGATGGCCAGCAGGGGGCGACTTCTCTGGTGGCCCAGTAGCATAGAAGTCAATGAGAAAATCGCCCGACTTCTCACCTCATTTATCATCCTAAATACTTTACATTGAATGGTTTCAATCATACGTTTGATGTCTCCTTCAATACAGAATGATGTTTCTCTTAAAAATGATATTTGCAGAAATAAATAGACGATGGAGGAGGATATACTCCAGAGCCTTGATGTTCGTACCGTACAGACGTGTCCTCAGGTTTTCAATCAGATCCACCCTCACTCATGACTTCCAGCTCAATAACTGAGACGGCAGCGGTCGAGGTCCAGTGATGGTCTCGACTTCAGAGCGGTAGTCCACAAACTAAAGCTGGCCGTATCCATCTGTCATACATTGTTTTAAAAAAAGAAATATTTCAGATTGAATGCTGCTCTCATTAAAGCAGAAGGAGGCAAACTAACCCTGATATGTTCTGAAAATCTTTGATATTTTTCACTGATTCAGCTTCTCACTCAAACTGTTAAAGTGATGTTCTGGTTTGGACTGAAACATTTTTAAACAAATTAAAATGGAAGCGTCTTCAGGTTGCAGGCTTATGGACTTTACTGCACACGGGCCAAACAGCTGCTTATTCAGATAAAACAAACAGTGTGAACATGAGGGAGGTCTGGCCCTGCTCTCCTCATGATATACTGTCTCCTACCGAGAAAACACTGTTGTTATACATAATAGATAATGATGTGTTTGTTTCTCATCAGCTGGAGAAGAAAGAGATGACGCCGCCCTTCAAACCTCAAATCTCTGACGAGTACGGCCTCGAAAACTTTGACACCCAGTTTACTAATGAACCAGTGCAGCTAACACCGGATGATGAGTAAGTACCGCTTCTCCAGCCGACATCGCTGCCTCCAGCACGGCCTTTCTGTCAATAATTTAAAACTTTATTTCAGGCAAACTACACACGTCTGTATGAAGGTGTGCTCGCACAGCCTTCAAGTTTGCAGAAGTTTTCCCGTTACAACAAGCATCATGTTGTTTTTGTGACTAAGCAGGTTGATACACGCTGATTAAAGACCACGTCTGCAGCAGCTTCTCCACTCAGCTACCTTCACTGTTTGCTCTCATCCAGACTCACAGCTGCTCAGAAAGTGGCAGCTAATGTTTCTGTACGTTCATGATGTCTCAGCGCCTGCCCGGGCTTCAGCTCGCGCTCCGATGGGTTCGTCCCCGCTTGTAAAAATGAGTGGGGCGAGCTGGTGTTAGCATTCTTAGTTTCATAGGTCCAGATGTGTTGGACTATCAAAAGCCACAGCAGCTGGCAGCTTCACAGCCTCAGAACCATTACAGTAACGTGCAGAGTGCTGAAGTCAAAGCCCAGACCTCATCAAAACCACGACAATACCGTGGTGTGAATATAAAGGCCCGGGCTGCTTTGAAGTGAGACAGTTCCCCGTCACACACACATCGCCACAATCATATTTCTGTCCTGACACCATCAGTCGCGGCTAAAAATTTACATTTTCTGAGAAAAAAATCTAAAGATTTCTCCCCCTGCAGACTAGAAAAATATGAAGAGCACATTTCAATTTCACTATTTTATTATATCGCCTCTCTTTGCCGGCTTTTTTCTGTGCTGCTTCTGCTATTTTATATCTTGCAAATGAAATTTAGTCTTTTGCTTTAGAATTCTGTAACAATGAATAAAACAGCATCCTAACGCAGCGCTGCACCGAGCGGTGCCGTCGCCACCGGACTAAACCGTGATTGGACTTGACAGGTGGAGATGTGTCCGGCTATAAAAAAGGTCCGTCCTGTCACGGTCGGACTGATGTCTAAGAAGAGCTCTCATTCAAAATGTATTTTCACACAAACGCTGGGTGCTGTGCCGTCTTCCCAGAAGACTTCTGCTTCCAATAAAGACAAACATCCCCCCATGAGTTCCCAACATTCACGTCTTTATCCATCAGGGACATTGTTTTGATTAATACAAACATGTAGCCTTCAGGATCTGACAAGAACCCTTGTTTAAGATTTAACTTTGGAGAGAAAAGGCTGAAGAGATCTGGCACAACAACAGACAGAACCGGCTCCACTGCTGCAGACTGTCTGAACACACGAGCGTGGCCTGTTTTCCTCTGTGCCGTCACAAAATGGATTCCATAAGGCTCTGGCAGGCCGTGCCAATAGATATTACCAGGCTTATGTTAGACAACATTGTCATTTAAATCCATGCTGGATTGATTGTTCAGGCTCCAGCATTTATATTTCTCCTGCAAAGCATTTATTGGACTGGTTGTAGCCGTTTCTCAGCAAACCTGCTGCTCAGAAGCAGAGGCTGAACTGACGGTTATATCCAGCGAGCACCTCGATCCACCAAATGGGTTCCTATCAGAATGAACAAATGACAACACGGCATATAGTGAGAAGCTTTTAAAATGTGACATTAATAAAAATAAGAAGAAGAAGAACTAAATGTTCATCTATGTGGTGGCAAATCATCGTCTTCATCCCATATGTGGAAATATGCAGCAAAGCATGTTATGTGTTGGATGAAGCGTTGGGATGCTGCCTGCGGTTCTCCTCTCTGTGGTTGACGTCACATCAAAACGTAGGAGGCTGAGGTGCATTTAACAGCATTTAACTGAACAAGTGATCGGTACCAGCTCGGTGCTCCACGTGGTTGATTGACCAGTGCCAGGCTAACTCTGCTAGCATGTAGCAGCTGACAACAACTGGTGCTCTAAAACCCTTTCCTGTGGTATCTATGACTGCAGCATAAAAACGTGTCCGTATCCTCTGAGCACAGCAGCAAAGGGTGTAAGATGGAGTGAGTTTGAAACAGATTAGGTCATGTGATCTACAGAGGAGGTGTTTGGTTCCAGTGAGCATGTGCAGACGGCGGATGTTAGGAGAACTTCAACATCCTGCTTTGGGGTGTTGGTCCATTCCATCCAGTGTTTGTCACTGGGTTTATGTCTCCAGCTGAGGGTGAGGTAGAAACCATCCTGAAACAGGAACAGTTAAGATGGTTGAAGACTGAAGCCTTCCTTTACATCTCAGCCTACATGGCTCGTTGTACAGGAGGCAGGATTCAGCCACACAACACACACGTTAGCGCTGCTGCAGTGTGACGTCCTAACTGTCTTTATAGGAAGGCAACAGACAGCACAGCATATGACCTTCTTTGGTCTTCAGCGTTGGGGTCAGAAGGTTTGAGTGGAGCTCACAAAGGTGGAATCGATGCTGTGTACAAACAGAGGTACGAACAATCAGGATGATAACATTATAGGTGGTGAACATATAAACAATGTGATGTGGGTGCTGCCAGACTGATGGGGACCTGCCTGACATGGCTCATAATTACGTGTACCTCCCACCACCCTCGACTTCAGCTGAAGCAGAATTAGGATTCATGCTGTCAGTAATTGGCATCATCACCACCGGCGCTGCAGCCTTGTTGACGACGCCATACTTAGTGGCCTTATTAAATGCCCATCATGTTCTGCACCCTTGACAGATGTCTTTGGGTAGCTGCCATCGCTCTCCCTCAGTCTGAAGGTGCTGCACACCTCTGCTGTTCACCAGACGTTGATCTTTAAGCCAGCCCCAGTGGATGAGCCTCGCAGCTCGCTCATTAAGGGGCTGCAGCGAGGCGGCTCTGAAACTCATCCCGGCTCATTTGTGACAGGGTTTGATGATGACGGGAGTCCGTGACAGACTTTTGGGGAGGCAGCTGTAGAAGAGGTGATGGTGGTGGTGGTGGTGGTGGGGGGAGACGAGTGGGAAAACAGGGTGGAGAGCACGCTGCCAGTTCAGTAGTGGAGATATCAACTTGGCATCAAACACCATGGCACATCAAAAGAAGACGCACGCCTCCTCCCTGCGTCTCGCACTTTATCTCCTCATCCCTTTCTCTTCCCTCTGTTACCAAGGAGAGGGGCTGACGTCGCCCACTCCCGCTAGGAGGGGGTGATGCAAAAAGCTCTCCAGTCTCCCCTCTCTCCCACTCACGACGGGCTTGGCATGAGAAGAAAGAGAAGTGAGAGCCGAGCAGGGAGAGAGAAGGGTAAACCCTCCATGTTAGAGATTTACATTGTGACATTAAAAACCAGGATTGCTGGGAGCCCTTGCCAGCACAGTGAGGGGAGGGCGAGAGAGGCTTTCGTTTTTCTGTGCCAGCTCCCCGTCTTAGAAAATGGCAGCCTCAGTCGGTGCCGGGGGAAGAACACTTTGGTCTTTTCTAACCTTGGTGGTTGAGTTTAGGGTGCTGCTGATTGTGACTACGGCCACAAGACCGCCGCAGTCCGCCTGCTAAACCTGTCGCTAATCCTCACCAGCAGACGCCGTGTTCAGGGGAACCATTCAGTCAACTAAAGTCTTACATGAAGACAGATTTGTCAGGGCGGCTCCTGTTGTCGGTGCACAGTCCTGACACGTATGAAGTATTGTTCTGACACTAAAGCGTCCAGGACTTGTAGTGATTGGATATCAGTTTAAAACACATCATTAAGTCACATTATGTTCTGTGTTCATCAACAAACGCTGAGAAAAAACACACGTACAGGACTTTTCACAATGAAAAATATAAAAACATCATTCATTCACAAATAAAAGCAAAGAAAGGAGATAGATGTGGTCTTTACTCTGTGAATCATCTGTTTATTCTGTTTATGCACCATAACCACCCCGTGCAGCCGACGCTTTCCTGAAACTCTACTTCAGTCTATTTCAGGCCTCTCTGCTGTTTTAACTTGGTCTCCTGCTGCTGTCGCCGTGTCTCTGCACACCTCCCAGATTTGCACCTATTTGCGTCTACTAATGTTCTCGCATCAACTTAATAACACAACTGTGCTGCTACTGAGATCTGCATCACACTCAGTCTGAGCACATCGTGACTAATCCAAACTGTCTGTCTCTGGCTGGATGAAGGCTGCAGTGAGCGCTGACTCTGAGCACTGATGTTAAAATCATGTCTTCGGTTGCCAAAAGCTTTCCAAATGTTCAAATGTTGATTTGCAGGACAAATTGTTTGCCTGTTTCTAAAACCTGTTGCTGTGTTCTCTGGGTGTCCTGTGCCGTCCCTCCTCGTCTTGTTCCATCTCTCTGTTCCCTCCTCTTTCCTCTCCTCGGCTCCTCATCCTGCATCTGGTAACGCTTTCAAGTCTGAAAAAACGCTGGTGGAGCTGTTTGCTTTGGTCACCTCCCAAACCTTCTCCCCTCTTTTTTCCTGAGTTCCTCTCTGTGGTCGTTCTTTGTGCCTCCCGGTTCTCCCTGGAACTCCAAAATAGAAAAAAACATTTTCTAAATCTAATTGTTGTCTTGTTGGTTGACCTCCTCCTACAGCGAGGGTGCTTCACATGAGATCAGATGGAGGAAAAATATTTGCTTCATCAATATTCTAGTCAGCACACTCAGAGAAAGACACTGTAGCGTTTCATTCACTTGTCCTGGTGCTCCATGTGGGTGGGATCTGCAACCTGTTCAGCGCCGCCGGTGGCCCTTAAAGTGAGCCTCCCACCCACCTGGTGGAGCAGGGCGACGACCGCTCAGCACACCTATTGTTTTAACTTCAAAGCCCTCCGTTCAGTGTCTGCAGGGAGAAAGCCTCTCGGCCTTTCTCAGCGAGAGGCCTCCTTTTTGGGTTTCAGTCCTTCGTCTCACACACACACACACACACACACACACACACACACACACACACACAGATGAGTAAACAGCCTGTTGCTGCAGGAGAAGAAGGCAGCAGTGTTGCTAAGGGAGTACATTTATTTTTACCCATCCACTCTGAGCCCACTATTTATGGGGTTCTGCTCCAGTTACCTGTGATTATGCCTTTGTTAATGGAAGCAGCACACTCAGGAAACAAAAAAAGCAGCGCGAGTTCCTCCAATGATTACTCCACACCGTGGGGTTTTTTATTTTTTCTGTCTCACTTGACATTTTGTACTGAAGGACACTATCTCACTGGGTTTCATGGATTTAATCCAGAAAGAAACGGACAAAGAAACATCTGCTCATCAGTTGTGTACCAACAGGAGCAGCAGGTACAGACCAGAAGAGTGTCTCTGCTGTCAAGTATGTCTTTAGAAGCTTGTAATCGCAGACATTTTAGTTAAAGATCTTCAAAACAGCAGTGAGCAGATGAGAACCATCGAGAACCAGCTGCTGTATAATTAAACTATGATGTTTGTGAAGACCAACCCTGAACCTGTGATCTGGTCATTCATGTCTGTGAAGATCCTCCGTCCTGCAGGTCATGTGGCAGACGCTTTTATCCAAAGCGACGTACATCTGAGAGTTCCTTGACGACGTTCCACCTCTCATCCAAGAGGTTGGGAGTAGTTGGGAGTTCCACATACTGATATCCTGAAGGAGACATTAACACCTGAGTTAAGGTTTCAATTGGAGTTTGTTGCTCCTCCCCCTCGTACTAACGACCCACATAACGAGGGGGGAGGAGCAACGAACCCCCAATTGAAACTCAGGTGTTAATGTCTCCTTCAGGATATCAGTATGTGGAACTCCCAACCAGTCAGTCAGAGCTGATGAAGCCTCTTGGATGAAGGTGGAACGTCTTCAAGGAACTCAAGCAGGTCCAGCTGCTACCATTAAGCTACGAGAACTAGCCATAAATGTTCCTCCTGAACGTCTTTATAAAGTCCAGCAACTGCATGCAAGCAGCAGCAGCTTCCAGCAATCACACTTCAGTTTCTGTCAGAATTGCGGTGGAGGTCTGGAGGTCTGAAGGTTGAGGGTTACTGATCAGGAGAGGAACACGACACCTTATTGTCCCTCTGCACTCTGAACATCTTAACAAGCTGCGAATGCTTAAAAATTGCTGTAACGTGTTTATATTGTGGCTTCTTCTTGTCCTCATACTGGTAGAAGCTAACATGTGGGGTTGAGGTGAACCAGGACTGATCGGTGCATCACCAACCAGCTACAGTTTAAAAACACGTCACAGGAAGTCTTTACCTCAGTGTCGGGAAAGTCAGAGCAAATCTGTCCGATCTGAGGGTGATAAGAAGCTTGCTGTCATTAGGAAGATCTCACCCTGATGTGCTTCTAAAACCTGAGCATGGCAGGATTTATTGAGCATTAAGCTCAATTTATCTTTGCCTCCTTTTTCTAGCAGAATCCGTGGTGACAGTGGACGTGAGAACAGCCGGGTTTGCTGCTAATAGCACTGTGCTCTGGGTTTGTGATGAAACAGCACCGTTAATTCTTCTCTCCATCTCCCTCTCCTCAGGGACGTCATCAAGAGAATAGACCAGTCAGAGTTTGAGGGATTTGAATACATCAACCCCCTGCTGCTATCCACAGAAGAGTCTGTATGAAGGAGAGGCCAGCTTCCTCCTTCGCCCACCTACTGTCTGTCCAAGCTGCCGTCTCAGCCAAAAAATCACTCGCAAGCCAACTCTGAAAGGCGAGGAAGAGGAGGAGGAAGAGTAAAGGACAACAGGGAGGACGAACTCACCCTCTGGACCTGTCAACAAGGCAAAGCAAACTGGAGCAGGGGAGAGTTTCCTTTCTGGATGATTCAGATTGTTTTGTTTGGGTACCAGACTCTACGAGGAAAACAGAGACAGCGGACTTCAGCGCTCCCCGTCGTCACGTTGTCTTTTTTTGTTCCTGCCTCGGCTTCATTTCTTTCCCCTCAGAACGTCCATCCTGGTGTCAAAGCGCGAACCAGCTTTGTGGTCTCAACGGAGAATCGTTTCATTCTGTGCCTGCCATCATGAACACGTCTCAGCCCGTCTCACGTCCCTGGATGAATATGACAGTTCTGATGAAGAACTTGAAATGATTTTATGTGCACTTTTTTTCTAAAAAAAAATAAGAAAAAAAAAGTTAATTTCTTTTTTTTCTATCTTGTAGGGGGGCGCGACGCCTCACACAAAACAAGAATGTACAATGACAAAGGAAAAGAATAAGTTATTATTGTGTATTATAATGTAGGTAGTGAATCCAGAATTGACGATGCCTTTTTATTGATGCAAGTGGCACATTTTCATCCATAACCACCACCTTTCTTTTTATTTTCTTTTATGATTTTCTTAAAATACGGGAGAGAACACTAACTGGGAGACAACTTTTTATTTAAGAAGTGCCTCAAAGATCAAATTAATTACCACGTCTCTGATTGCACTTATCTCTTATTGGACATTTCTTCACCCGTCATGGCTTCAGGAGGTGAAGCAGCTGAAGCTCGACTCTGCCTGGGTCCAAACTCCTCCAATTTGTAAAGGAATCAGTGTGTTTGGAGCCCAGTAGGCTGCCTCACTTCTGACAAGTGACTGGATCTTTTTATGTTTAATCAATCAATTAAAAAAAAAAATCAGTGTGCAACAAATAATTTCCAGTGTGTCACCAGAGCAGCATCTAAACACCAGATATGTCAGGAAGAGACACGATGCTCAGAGGCCAAGCTGGATGTAAAGATATCGAATAGCAAAGATTGTGTCCCACTTAGCAGGAGTTTCACCATCTATCAGTCTCAGATCATCATCAGGTGGGCGCTGAGCAGCAGGCGCCACACAGCAAACATGATATGAAGGTATATGAAGGTAAACTCGCTGCAGTCTGGCAGCTGTAGGAACACGTTCAGCACACCGGGCTCCAAAACAAAGCTTTCCATTGGCTACCACAGTGTGTTCAGGCTTCCTGGCTGAGCTTGGGTCCTTCCTCACCAGCTGCCACTGTGCCACCATCTGCAGCTGCTCACAAACACCACGTGACCTGCTGGTGGCGCTGCCTCGGCTCGTCTCCGTGTCCACCTCTGCACCGAGGCCGGTTCTGTCGGCGGCAGCTCAGTGCTGCTTCAACCGACTGGACGGTTCCTTCGGTCCACTTGAAATGTCATCAAGTGATATTTAAGTGTATTATTAATGTTGCTGCATTTCTAATGGACTGGACTATTGAGTCCAAAGGTTCTGATCACGCGGGCTGTGAACACCGACACCCATGTGAGCAGATGTGAGTACGCAGACGGCTGTGGTCCTCCAGGTGGAGGCAGGCAGGTGAGGGCTGCAGCCACCCTGACATGGACCAAGCACTTTGGAAGATGGACGGATTGATGCTTGGTCTTGCTTTTTAACTGTCTGGTTCTGAATGGTTCCAGTTTCAGCACACTGTCTTGCATTTAGACGCAATTCTTTTACAACAGGTTGTGATTTAAACTGGTGCAGTAGTTTTGTTAAGTAAAAAAAAAGTAAAACATGTTTCGATTCCCCAAACTAACGTATCAGCACAGAGTGCTGCTCGGTGTCGGCAGTACTGTCGGTACTGAACGGTGTTGAGTCGGGAGTCGTGATACCAGAAATGTGGTCGTCGGCTCCAACATCATTGACTTTCCACAATCTTCCATCAGTTCTTGTTACAGTTTGCTGTGGAGGTTGGTGTCACCTCTGAGTTTATTACCCAGGGTAACGACAGCCTGATGAACGGGCCGAGCTGTTCCTTCACTTCTATAAGCTCTGATTGATTCATCCAGACCAGAATACCCTCCTCCAGGAGCACAGTGGGCACAAACACAACAAGGAGCCACGAGTTTATTAGCAAACTGACGTTTTAGGCCATATATATATATTAACAGCCACCTGGACACACAGCAGACGACTCGTGTAACCTTGAGCTGTGGAAAGGTTCAGATCCAACACGCACTCCCGACACGTCTGAGAATATCAAGTACGATTAAAGCCACCAACAGAAGTCCTCTGAAGCGAGCTCAGCGTCGATCTCTGCATCTGTGTGCTTCCGAGGAAAGAAGAGCTCTCTATTGGCTGAGAATTATTTGATGAAATCTGACCCGTGCTAATTTGATAACCACATAATAGGATTAATTAGCTGATCCTGAGTCAAAGGGTCTCAATTAGCTGCAGGGCGAAGAAACAGATAGAGAGAGGAGAGATAATGAAGTAGTTTCACAGTCACCAATTAGTCCAACACACACACACACACACACAGAGCTAGATATCACTTCAACATTCGAGGAAGTTTCTCTTCCAGCCTCCCAAACTCAGCTCGTTTGCTGCATCGTATTAATGTCGTGTTTTTGTTGACCTTTTTTTACGCACTAGGTGATCCATTAGTGGCATTTTGTTTTTCTTGAGGGACCAATGGATGAACTGGGAGTCCTTGAATCCACATTACAGAACATTAAAGGCCATTCAAACACCACTAAAGAAATATTATTTAAAATGTATGAATTCAGACCATGGTTTTTTGGTTTAACATAATGCTGGTTGTATCTGCTCCATTTTGCTTTACCGCATCTTTGTAAATATGTGTAATTATTAAAAATGATACTGGTTTTCCGTGCACCGAGTCCTTCTCCTTTTTTTTTTGCAGACGACGGCAGTAAAATCTTTGCAGATGCTTCAGTTTTGTAGGCGGCTCGCCTGGGAACAGGCTGCACGCTGCAGCACATCCTCTGATCACCACTTACTCTGCTCATACAACCCGAGAGGAGAAGGTAATTAACCCATATTCATCATCTGACGTCATCTTCCGTGTTTATTCCAAACAGAGAGAATAAAGTGTTTATGAGAATATTTAAAAACCTGCAGTGGAGTGCTGGACTGATTTCATCAGCTCAGTCACAATCAGTGAACTTCAGGCCAGTGAGCACGTCCACCCTGGTCTTCACCGTGTGCAGTTTGACAAGCGTGTTTGGAGGAAGACTGAAACCTGTTTAAATTGATCAACTTTAATGTTTTTACAGGAGAGAAACTGCCACCAGACAAACCTGACCAGGTTACATGGAAATGATTTAACAACCAGAACAACAGAGCTGTATTTTTAATACATGTGAGGAAACTCAGAAGATCAGACGGTCAGTATCAGGTCCGTACCGAGCTGGATTCTGGACAGCGTTAGCAGAGCTTAGCACACAGATATCGATCAGAAAGTTCAGAGACTGTACCGATGAAAGTGGCCACCGGCTCCTTCCTGGGAGTTTCTTTGTGCAGTGATTCGGTTCTTGCAGCACTTGTGCAGCACCGGTACCGCTCCCTGGAAGTCCGGTTATGTAAGCACGTCAGGTGCTGTCTGCAGGTGTCAAACCTTCAGCGTGGATTTCATTTTTAGGAGGAAGAAGCCGACAGGGAGCCAAATCCAGAACATAAGGCAGGTGGAGAACAGCAGTTTGATTGTTGTGGCCAAAAAAGTCCAGCAGTCTCATTTCACCGTGACCGACACTCAGCACACCAGAACACTGACACGTCGTCACCCTGCAGCTCATTTGCACCGATGTTCTCCCTCAGACGCCTCAGGATGCTCCAGGAGAACCCTGCCTTGACAGTCTGGCGCTGGAGGACTATTTCATGGTGCACCTGACATGAGAGTCCACCTGTAGTCTGCAGCTCCACTGTTGTTCTGTCAGTGGTAGCTGCAGACCATCGCTGGTGATGATCCTCAACATGAAGGTTGGACGACGCCAGCTGTTGACCGACAGAACAGGAGGTTTTCTTTTCTGTTCCAGTTTTAGGTCCAATGACAAATCCCAGGTATGGACACATCCTGACTCATGACTGTCATTGTTTACGTCTGTTGCATTCATAAACGTTGCAGGTGGACCACGAACAGTCTCTGAACTTTCTGCTCGTACAAACTAGAATCAGGGAATAAACAGCTTGCCTGGCTCAAAGTCAGAAGAACGCTTCTGCAGTCACAGGAAACATAAGAGTGTCGTCATGACATAGGAAGTGGAGTGTGGAATAAGCTAACATCGGCAGGCAGCTGACCAGCAGAAACTATGAACGTTAGCTTGTTTTGCTCTTTTTATTTTGTTAATAAAAACGTGAACATTTCCAAGAGAATCGTGAACCCTAGACGTGAACAGGATTGTGTCATCGTCTCGCTGTAAGACATCGCTGGCTCTGAACGTCCACACGTCATAAAGAGGTGTTCACATGTTCACTCCTCTCCTCTGGTCGTATCTTTCACACACAAATCCATTTCTGGTTTCATCTCCCGGAGCGTGATGAGGGCTGGACGGTCTGTTAGTCAGAAGAGCCTCTTGACCAGCTGAAGGCATCAGAGGCCATGTGGACCGGTTCTGGCAGAGTAGAAATCTGGGATCTTAAGTCTGGAGTTGAAAAGAATGAATTGAGGAATGATGGAGGAGTCTGACCAAGCTGCCCAGGTAGCTCCAGAGTAAACGTCTTAGTACCTTCCCATCCTCCATCACTTTACACAGAACAGGTGAGCATCCTTGTTATCTCACCTTGTACCTCCCAGACTCCAGTCTGTGTAACGGTAATGGACGGGGGGGTTATTTGCATGAGCTGCTCTCAGGGTGTGTCCTGCTCCATCTGATATGATCCTGAGCGTGCGGGGCATCTGGGCAGCTTGTAGCTCGTGGACAGCAGCCAGCGTCCTGTCGACTCACCAGGTCATGTCCACGTTCAACTCCGACAGACACTGGGCCAGGTGGCCGTCACAGTCCATCTGGGTGAACCTGGAGAGACGGGAACACAGAACAGACAATGAACACACTCAGTGTGTGATTAGTACAAACTGATGCATACAGTCTGTGCCGGTCAATCCAAAGTCAGCCACACATCCTTTACTCGGCTTCTGATGTGAACATGACAGGTTTACACAGACTGGATGTACATTCTGGTACCAACACCGGGAGGTTTTCTTCCTGCAGAACAAAGCTTTTTAACCAGAGTCTGTCCTTCACTAACAAACTGGACTTTACATCATGAAAACAAAGCCGGTTATTAGAAACCAAATGTCCACATGGAAGTGACGTGTGAGGACCTGCTGTGATTTCTGCTGAGTGGACTAAAGATGGACATCATGAAGCCAAAACATGTCAGTGGCCTCCTGATGGTTGAGGTAGTTCTCAGGTGTCTAACCTGTACTGCTGATTGACCTGTAAGTCATAAATACAACATGATCCATATACTTCTGATTGTTTGTCTGATGTATGTCGTCCTGACCGGCACACCTCATACATGCTGAACTGCAGCCTTTGTCATTCACTAACTGCAGTGATTCAAGTTGTGGTTTTGATTGGACACAGACCTACAAGCAGATGAGCACATGAGAGGTGTGTGAGTAAAAGCAGAAGCTGAGGCCATCCCTCCTTTGTTTCCAGTCACAGAGAGGTGATCACTGTTCCTGCAGCAGAATGGGAGCTGGTTGTGTAGCTCAGCCAACGTACACAGAGTCTGGCTCAACGGGCACCGGGTCAGACCAGGACCCGGCCGGCAGCAGCACAAAGACAACGCTGTTCACACAGTCGTCTACGTCACCTCCTGTTTCCACCAGGGATGTCCCAGTCCAGTCTCTGTGGCCCTGATACCAGACCTCTGGACTCACGCTCACATTTCCATATTTCCTAATTGATGTTAAGTGGCTGCTTCTGGTATTATCCAAGTTTCAAATGTGTGATCGGGCCTGAAGTCCCACGACACTCCTAGACGAGTACGAAAACTAATGTTTGTGTTGTTGTGTCACATCTGGGGCTTCAGATGTCAGGCAGCCACTCGTCCCTGCTGTAAGTCCATGTACTGTCGTCTCCGTCCAGCTGTGGACTCATCACACACACATCTGTGCGTTCTATCATTACAGATGTGTGCATGTGGACACATTCCCAACATGCACTGGAAAACAGCAATAAGAAGAGGTCCTTGCTGTTTCTGGATGGACAACATGGAAAAGACAAAACGAAAACCAGGTCCAGACTTTGAACAAGACCCAGGCCAAGTATCCTGGCATACATATGGAGCAGGGACCTGGAGAACCTTTGGCATTTCAGGCACGTGCACAGCTTGTGTGCAAACAGTCTGCAAAAGGCTCAGATTTCAGCCAGCATCAGCATGCTTTTCCAAACAGTCTGATTAATGGCTGCGATTAAAAATATTTTAAAAATCAATAACTCATCCTTATCAGCATCCACAGGTGCAATATGAAGCTAAATGTGAAACCTGCTGCAGCTCCATCATGTTCCTGTGACAGTAAACCAAACAGACAAACTTCTGTATCCTTATGCTGTGTTCTAGCAGAGCAGCAGAAAGAGGAAACTGCCCCGATCAGGTCCAACTGCAGCTTACAGCGATGCCTAATGAGCGACACAGAGTGCTGGTATGTGTGGCTTTGGGTTGTCGCATTGATTTTACGTGACGAACCAACACAAAGGACGGCCGTGTCGTGGTAGGTTTGCAGTTGAACAGTGGATTGAACAGCGCTCCATGACATGTCTAAAGCTTGGGATGTGTTTCTAGAACCTAACCCTGCTTTAAACTTCTCCACTACTTTATCCCGGCCTGTCTGGTGTGTTCCTTAGTCGACATGATGCTGTTTGTTCACTAATGTTGTCTAACAAACCTCTGAGGCCGTCACAGAACAGCTGTATTTATACTGAGACACACAGTTGTACACACAGGTGGACTCTATTTACTAGTCAGGTGACCTCTGAAGGCAGTTGGTTGACTGGATGTTATTTACCGTCAGAGTAAAGGGGCTGATCACATGTGCACGCCACACTTCAGATCTTTATCTGTAAAAAATCTTTAACGCCACATATCGTTCTCCCTCCACAACCATTCACTACTTTGTGTTGATCTATCACGTATAGTCCCAATAAAACAGATTTAGGTTTGTGCTTGTGACATGACAACATGTGGAAAAGTTCAAGGGGTACGAAGACTTCTGCAAAGCATCATGGGACGCTTTCTCTTGGTTGCTAAACTTTCGGTGCTCTTTGCTCGCCAACAGGAAACGGACAAAAGGCCAAGTGGCTGCGTCCTCCACCACCTGCTGCCTCACGCAGGTACGCATGTCTGCTGCCTTATTGGTTAATATGTTTTTAATTGTTTTAGTTATTAATGGCAATCAATCAATTATTTAATTCATCATTAGCTTTCCTAGTGGGAGCACAAGATTAACAGAAATAGTTGAATTTGAAGTTGCATTGACAGACAGAGTCTCTGTAGACTCCAGTGAACTAAACCAACACAGCTGAGGGAAGTTCTTACCCGTCAGGGAACAGCTGCAGGCACATGGGGCAGCTCTGCAGCACTCCCACTCCTCCACTCCTCTGCACCGCTTCTCCTTCTTCACCCTCCGTCACCTCCTCTGTATTTCCACCCTCCTCCTGCAGCGGAGCTCGGCTGTCAGATACGCTCACAAGCTGCCTGCTGACTGGTCCAGGCTCTTCTTCTGGTTCTCCTCCTGTCGTTCCTTCTCCTCCTCCATCTCTGGAGGGTCCAGCCGATGGTGTTGCCTCGTCCTGCCTGTGAAGGGACGACTGCTGTCTGTTGCTCACGTGTTGAGGAGATGCTGCCCTGTTGTCGGGACTCTGGCGGCTGGAAGAGAACAGCTGTTGATCAGGTGGATGTGGTGCAGGTTTGGTCTGTGCTGAGGGGTCTTGTTGGGAGGAGCCGAGAGAACGTGGGCTTGATGGAACCCCTGGAGAAGGTGCAGAGGGCTCAGGAAAGGCAGGAACCTGACTGTTGAGGTCACACCACAGCACTTCATCCACCCTCAGAGCTCTCTAAAGAAACATGGATGCAACTTTAAACATTATGAAAACAAGGACAGCACAGAAACAATAATACTAACCCTACAAACGTCTTGTCTTATCACGTTCACTACAGGTGCTGCTGTGTAGAGCCATAACATACCACTGCAGACGGACGTGGCAGATCAGAAACCGGGTCCCAGTGCTGGTTTTCTAGGTAGGGCAGAGCAGACGTCAGCGTGGACGCCCAGAGGCCGTCCACAGCAGGCAGCGGCTGAGTGTTCCACCACGATGCTGCAGGAACCGCTGACCTGTAGACCAGATAGCACACACAGAACGTTCCACATAACCACCACTGTTCTCCTCAGTCCTCATCCAGCATGTGTCTGAATGGAACATGCTGGATTGTAAATGTGGTACATAACAACAGTGTTAATATCCCAGTCTATCCCATCTGACTCAGGGTGAAGGCAGGTTCACCTGGACAGGTAACCAGTCTATCACAGGGCTACACTTAGAGACAGACAACCAAGCACACTCACATTCACACCTACGGACAATTTACAATCACCAATTAACCTCAGCATGTTTCTGGACTGTGGGAGGAAGCCGGAGAACCCGGAGAGAACCCACGCTGCACGGGGAGAACATGGAGACTCCACGCAGGAAGATCCCGGGTGTCCTCACCGGGACGCCAACCAGCGACCTTCCAGCTGTGAGGCCACGGTGCTAACCACTGATCCACCTGCAGCCCTGGTCGTTTCCAATCAATTGGAATTTTTTCTAAAAAAATATTTTTTTTCAGCTTGAATGTAGTCTTGAACTAAGCTATAATGTGCTTCTGCAGATCGTAGCACAACAGCTCTGCTATAGATCTGATCTTTGTCTTGCTCATAATGTTCCACTTTAAAGGACACTGTGTCAGAGTTGACAGTCGGGCTGGTCTTGTCTGTGCCTCGTTGCATCCTGTCCTAGTTTTGATGGTGTGGTTCTGCAGATGCAGGTGATGGAATCACTTGTCAGCCACACCAGAGTGTAAAGTTTCCGGTGGGCGCTGACATTTTGATCTTTGCATCACAAAAAAAAGCTAAAAATCAACAACACAAAACTCAAAGTGAAAACCTGATTATGTGACTCAGCTCCGGCTCGCTGTCGCTTTGTTTATCGCTTTTATTCATGAAATCATTCTTGACCTTTTTTGATGCGCCGGTTTTTCCCAGTTTCATATTTTTACTGAAAGTGCAGCTTGAGCTGTCCTCGTCCAGACGGGGCCTTTTGAGTGAGGAAATAAAAAATCAGTTCTGCTGATCATCTGACTCAAATGCAAACCATTTCTGTACATGACTCTTGATGGGGTTTGTTTTTTTCAGACTTGTGACTGTGTCTGCGCTCACCACCGCCATCCTACATGTTATTGTATGGTATCTCCTGCACCTACAACGTCTAGGGTACCATGGATACTGAGGACATTATAGAACAAAAGGTTCCCTCATGTTGTCAGAATATTGGATCAATCTGGTCGTGAAGAAACTGAAGCTGTCTCTACACAGAAAGCATCTCAGCTGCTTCATCAAGACAATCGGCTGCCTCTGGTTTCTACATGAGGCTGTTTTGTTTCTTGTTTTTTTTAATTAGTATAGGTCACTAAAAAAGTAGTTGCAGGAGAAAGACTGTTGTTGCGTTATTTTTCATCATAGTGAACTGCAGTACACTTGGTCCAATGATCTTCAAGCCTCAGCATCCCTTCAAGAGCATGGATGACTTCATCATCGCTCTGAAAATGGCGACCAAGCAAATGAGACAGTTTTAGATGGTGTAGGATGAGTCAGGTGTACGGAGCAACAGTTCAGAATCACATTTGGCTGTCTCGCCTCCTGTGCTGCGTGTATTTAAGGCTTTATAGTCTTCAGTTATGCCCCTACACGGGAGTCAGGCCCCTGGTTTCCAGGTTAGGCCGAGAACTCCTTGAAGCACCTTCGTACATTCCAGGGTGCACGTTGGCCAGCAGAGCATCTCGTCTCATGTCGTCTTCCAGCTCAACAACCTGACAGCTACCTGTGAAACCACCAGGACGGCCTCGGCTCAGCGACTAAATAGCACGCTATGTTGGTGGATCAGACTATTTGTTTTCTTCTTAATATCAGCTTCAGCAACACTTTTAAAATGAGTTTTGACTTATTTCAGTTCTTATTTCTGTCATTTATTTGGCTTTAGGCTCTGATGTATAATGTTTCTGTATCTCATGTCAGCTTCTGATCACAGACACTACATTAGAATATATTTTTAAATGATTATGATGATTGTTTTTTTTTCTTTTTCCTTTAAATCAATCATCTAGACGGGCAGGTGAATGAACATAAAACGATCCTGTGGCTCTGAGGACATGATCTACATCCATGTTTATAGTTATAAAAATATATAGATTTTTAAAACACACCCATAACTCTGCATGCAGCACTGACATAAACCCTGAACTGTCTCTGGTCCTGTTCTGATGAGTAACAACACATTACTAACATCACAGCTGTAGGATGTTAACGGAGGTTCTGGAGTTTCTCCTCCTCAGTGTTTTATTAAAGCCTCTAACAGTGAACAACCTCCTGCAGCTCTGATCGCTGCTCTGACTTTAACGTGAGGGTTACCGGATTACCGGTTACCGGAGCCTCACCCGGCGGGCTTCGCTGCGCTGCTACCGGGAAACAGCGCCGTCGGGCCGCTCCTCGGTGTCTGTCTGACACATGCCTCTGACTGGAGCTCCTCCACGGAGGACTTCTTTCTTTTGAGTTTGGTCCTCGGGTGACTTTCTGTCATGTCGTCTCATCGCTTTTCACAGCAGTTTCTAAATCCCGCGCCAGCGCGACTCACCGGGACTTCCTTATTCCGAACCCTGACGTCATTTGACTTCCTCCAATCAGAAGTTTTTCTGGTCTGCCAGGAAAGAATTCTGTCCAATCAAGTTGAACTGTGGAGATACGATAAACGGCGAAGAACAAAATAATAACAATAATTTTTAAAAAAATAAATAAATAAATAAACTGAGAAGAATAAGATAATAATAATAATAATAATAATAATAATAATAATAATAATAAATGGAGAAGAATAACTTCTGCGTGTTTTTAGCTCATATTTATTTCTGGATAGAGGTGGATTTGAGGTGAATTCTCTCTCTAATGAAAGGAGGGTTTCTCAGTACTCATGGCTGCACTTCATTGTAAACTCCACGTAGCCAACTGGTCACTATTGTACTATTTATTTCAATAAATTTGAATTTCCTGGGAAAGAATGCTGTGTCTGCAGTAAACACCTCCTTCCATGGTGTGTTCTGTCCACGTCAGACTAGAAGGGAATCCAGATTATGGTTGCATTCCAAATTTCTTATTTCTCTTTTTTCTTTCAGGACGTACTTCAGCTGTCCTGACCCAATAGGTTCTGTTTCATACAGAATGCATTCATTTTGCACAAACTGCATCATCATAATATCGTGCCTTAATGTTGCTCATATGTCTGTGGTAGTCTGCAGTGCAAAATGAGCTGTTATCCCTCTGTGTGCTCTTTTTAATACTTGTGTGAGACACTGTGACGTAACTGTGCAGACAACTGTAGGTCAGACTGGCCAGAAAAGCATGCTGGCTGCTTATTACAAAATGCAACTGGATGCAGTGGGACATCCTGGTACCCTGCATCTGATAAACAGTAACCACTTGCTAGCAGAATAGAACTGAGTACATTTATTGCAATTTGAAGGAAATTGGCCAAAATTTTTTTACTAAGTCTGACACAGTAGTCATTTCTGGGTCCAGACTCTCCCTCACAGCCCAGAAGCAGACAAAGACTGAGGTACCATCAAGAGTCCAAAGGGTTCTGTGTTCAGGCAATGATGCAAAAACCAATGTGCCTGGGAGGCTGACGTGCCCAACGTGAGTTCTAAAAAGTTTAACTTGACGGCTGAGAGATGTGCTATAAAAGAATGGTACTAACAAAAGGCTGTAGGTTATGAAGTGATGATCACCAGGTTGAAACTGGATTTAAACAGCTGCCTCCTACTGTGTATTAAAGGAGAAATCTGGTTTATTCCAAACTGGTGTGTTACCCATTAATGTGGCTGTTGTGACTCAATGGGTCCACTTTGTACTTCCCACCACTGTTGTAGAGATTCATAGAAAACAAGGACTTATCCACCTTTTGCTTATTGTATGGAGAGTAGAACACGAGGGACTGCATGAAAGACATGTGGGAACTACAAAACCTTTCCTATTAACCCTACATCTTCATCCACCAGTCTGTTTACATGTGCGAGGCTGGCTTTTTGGAAACTCAGCAGCTAGATGCAATAAGGGATTACCCCGTGGACCAGTACAAGGACATTGCAAGTCATTTCAGAATTATGGTCAGCTGTATTATTGGAGTCCACACAGGAGGAACTAAACTAAATGGAAGACGAAGAACATGGTATCTGTTCATTCTTCTCTCCACAAAATCATTGCATAGCATGTAAAATACAGTTTCCAATGTATTGAAATCACACCTTTCTGTTTGGTTTTGAGTTTAAGAATAAAACAACACGACGAGCCTGACTCGTCTGCTCGTTCCTCCAGCCTTGTACTGTTTGATTGAATCACCTCACTTCTAATGCATGATAATATTATGTCAGCCCAGCACACGGATTTCTACTCAGTGCACCGTAAAGAAGGTTACATCATGCAAGTATGCTAACGGTAATGACGATACTTTGTTCTCTCTGCTAGGACACATATAAAGTGGAAAGTTGAAGTCATATAATAATGGTGGGACTTTCTGAGCTTTTTAAGCTTTTGGCCAGAAGAGAGGGACCAACGGAGAGCGGCTACAATTATGCAGTGGAAAAAGACAAGGGAAACCTGGACTGAATAGAAGAAAAAGAAAAGAGAGGAAAGAGAAGTGCATTATTTACAAGAGTGGAAAACAGCAATATGGGAAAACCTACTGCTTTGAAATAAGGTGAGAGCTGGTGCTTCAGAAGACGAGTACTGCAGAAGGACTGCTGCTGAACTGCTGACTTTGGCCAGTCAGTTTTTTTCTACCTCAACCACAAGCAGGGGAGACACACAAAAGCAGAGCAGTGGGCCAGGCCTGTGGTACAGAGTGCGACTCTGGGAAAAAGCAACCCGGCGCCTGGAAAGAAACGTTATGTCACCCATCCCACGTGATGCTGTGTTGTGCTCTGCTGTCATGGCGACAGCAAAGATGCCTTAGAAGCAGCCCAAACTGCTTCAGTTAGAGAAACACACCAACAGTTTCGGAGGTTCCACTCAGCTTTGTTTGTGGAGTGATGAGAACCTCGATACAACGGTACACGACTGTAGTCAGGTGAAAGATCGGCTTTTACAGATTTCTATAGCTACTTCTTTACTTATTAGATTCTCTTTAGTCCATGTGTCACATTAAGCCATAAGAAGCTCCATCTACTGAGTCCTCATCCAGGTTAAGTTCATCTCGATCAGTTTGTCTTTATTAGTGTTATTTCTATAAGCTTTTGTTTACCTGGAGGACTCCAACTCAGTGCAACCTTTGGAGTTCAATCTGCCTGGAACACGTGGCTCAAGCATCGTAGCCAAGCTCGCTGTATTTCAGCGATGACGTCTTGATTCTCGGTTTCCTGCATAATTTCAGGGAAGCGATCTTGCTACGCCTGAGCATCCAGTCTCTCAGGGATGTGCTGAGTTGTAAAACCATAACCGTATATCTTTTTAGCTTATTATTAATCATTATCACAGAGCTTACATGAAACATAGAATAACTTTTGAGTCTGCATCTGACTTTATGTAAAGCATATAACACAGGTTAGAAAATCAAAATGTGGTAAATTCATCAGGCTAACTTAACTAGCCTTTATGCAATCAAGCAGTTTGATGACCTGTTCTGTAGCTGTGAAACAGTCACAGCATCAGGCTTTAGCTTAGCATAAACATTTTGCATCTTATTCATGAACACAGATGACGTAGTTCGCTTTCCTTATGGGCATGATTTTAGGAAAGACATTTTCTGTCAGTACTCTGACCACACACTGTTAGAACTTATCCAGCTCAGCCTTGCTGCTGTGAAAGACTCAAAGAGTTGACAGGCCATTTATTTACACATTTTTTGCATTATATTTTGTATTGTGGCACTTCACTAAAGAGAAAGGACCGCTTAAATACGTAAAAGCCTTGGTATGCTTCAAACTAAGAATCTGTCAGCTGCTCTGACAGTGAGTGAAACCTTTCAACAGCAAAAACTCTGGAAGGTTTCCAAGAATTGTTGTAAAAGTCAGACTACAGTGTGTGGTTTGGTGCGCTCAGGGGGTGACTGGCTGCAATCTACCACCTGTCCACAGCCTGTACACCCCCAGAACCTTGAGTTGGGCAGGAAACATTGTGCCAATGCCTCCCACCCCAGTCACAAACTTACAGAGACACTTCTCTCCAGCAGGAGGCTGTGGTCCATCAGAACCAAACTCCACACCTCATCAACAAGGGCTCGGACCCCTGCCTACAGCGGTTTCTGATCCTGTTCAGCCCTGGGCTCTTTTTCAGGCCTCTGCTCCAAAATGACATCCCATAATAAAAAACAGTCTATCTCTGCAACCACAAGGTCTATCTGAATAATTCTGGTGTCATAATAAAAGGAACACTTGTAAGATTTGTTCAGATGTGTAAATATCAGTATATATGTTCCTGGTTCAGAGGAAATGAAGACGGCACACAGTGCTTTCAGGATGATGATGATGTTTGTAGTGATCCAGCTGCAGCTCTGAACCTCTCCCACATCACAGACAACATGTGAACATTGTGACTCTGATAAAGTGAAGCAGAACAACATCAGAGAGTTTTTAGTCCAGACGGTTCAGGCGAGCTCTCATTCTGGCTCACTGGTGACCATCTGAATGTTCTCATGTACAATCTATATATTCCACTAGTATATCACTGATGGTGTTCAATACATCCACATACAGCAGCTCTTTAGTTTCCTGAACATCCAACCAGACCGCTGTCTGTGTTCCGCGTCCTGATGCTGCTCAGACTGCTGTGGAGCTCCTGTGGTGACGCAAGGCTCTATCTCCGTCATGATTGGTCGGTTTCAGTGATTGACACCGCCTTTCAATCGCTAGAGCCAATAGAGTGTAGCGACAGCCACCAACATGAGATTGACAGCACTGTTAGCCAATCAGAACCAGCAGGACGCCATCTTGAAGCCGAGCCGCTTGCTGAGCGAGTGTTCCCTCCTTAGCTCCCTGAGGCTAACGGAGCCTCCAAAAGACGCCCGGAATGATTTCAGTGTAACACAGAAAGTAGTACGAACTGCGTCCGGTGTGCATTTACCGATAAAATAAACGTTTCATGGCTGAACAGCGAAGGTAAGAGACACGTTACAGCTCCAGTTTGGGTTTGTGCTGTTCTTTAAGTTGTTTCTCGCTGATGCTTTGATCTCAGAGAGCTTTGATGGACGTGTCTGGACTCTGTGGACCGTCTGGTTCCGTCTGAGGGCTGTTGGAGCGTTTAGCATAAAGCGCTGGAGCCAGAAATGAGGCGAGTGGGTTGACTGGGTGGCGCTATGTCGATGTACATGTGTGATAATTCATTTAGCTGGTGAGGCAGCCTCTGACTAAACATCACTCAGGTCAGTTAGCTTAGCCGGTTCCATGGTCAGGGGTCGTGCAGTAGCAGAACCAAAGCTTTGGACTAGACGTCCACTGACTGAACTGCTGCCATGTTACTGACATTTAAGCCACAATGTAAGAGTGACATGTGATCAGTAGCCTTTGGGTGTCTGTGTTGGCCGGCAGGTTTCCTTTTAGTTGTTTATTTATCGATATATATATTTAATTTACAGGCTGCAAGGGGGACCGGTGGTCAGCAGGTCGCCGGTTCACGTCCCGGTGAGGAGACCCGGGATCTTCCTGCGTGGAGTCTCCATGTTCTCCCCGTGCAGCGTGGGTTCTCTCTGGGTAAGGTCTCTACCCCACCATGTTAAGCGCTATGTGATGACATATGCTGTAAACTGCGCTATACAAATAAAATTGAATTGAATTGATGTTGTTCTGCCTTTCATGTGCCTTTTATTATTGATGCTATTTAACCTTCAACCTTGGTTGCTTCAAATGGACTCTAAGAATAATTTAATGTGACAGTTGGCTTGGTGTCTGGATCAGTTAAAGTACTGATGTGTTATGCAGACTGTGGAATGATAGAGTAGCTTCATATTCAATGCAGTGTTTACTGTGATGAAGAAAAGGAGAATAGTACGAGATACATTCAGCAAGACCTCCATGTTCAACACCAGCAGCAGATAGTGTGGGTCGACATCAAAACTGTACAGCTGTCCAAAAACAAATAAGAATTTCAAAACCACAAGGAGAAAGAAGGGCAAGAAAGAAAATTTGTAAGTAAATGATGAGCACAGATGAGCTCATGGGGGAAAAAGGGGAGCGAGCAGGAGGACAAGCGCTGCATGTTGGCAACATTATGAATCATTGAAAATGAGGCTTGGCATACACTGCACACTGTCTAGCAGCTCTGGCCTTGATAGGACGAGAAGCCCGAAGGAAGCACAAGCTTTTCATCTCACTTGTATCCATACTGCGTACTGTACACACACAGTACGCTAGTGTAGTACCGCAGGCCCACGTCCAGCTGCTGGTGCTCAGCTGAAAGGACGGCATCAGGACGACTGATAAGACCAGTGGAGGCTCTGGTCCCCTGAGGACTAGTCACATATCTGACAGCCCAGCGCTGTGGGTCCAACACATCACTGATCACTGTGCTGCTCAATACATGATGGAATTATCAATATGTATATATATATATATATATGGGCAGATATAGACTGGATTTATACGTCACGTTTTTCACTTGTAGGTTTTAACTGAGGGCTGGTGGTTAGCACCGTTAGCGCCTCACAGCTAGAAGGTCGCCGGTTGGCGTCCCGGTGAGGACACCCGGGATCTTCCTGCGTGGAGTCTCCATGTTCTCCCCGTGCAGCGTGGGTTCTCTCCGGGTTCTCCGGCTTCCTCCCACAGTCCACAAACATGCTGAGGTTAATTGGTGATTGTAAATTGTCCGTAGGTGTGAATGTGAGTGTGCTTGGTTGTCTGTCTCTAAGTGTAGCCCTGTGATAGACTGGTTACCTGTCCAGGTGAACCTGCCTTCACCCTGAGTCAGCTGGGATAGGCTCCGCCCCCCATGACCCTGGTGAGGATGAAGGTGTAGAGATGATGGATGGATGGAACCATTAAGTGTGTGAATGTGGTTACGCTCTCACACTGTAATGTTTTTGTAAAGTAGGATAAATGTTTTCTTTTCCTCGTCTCGTAGGCATTTAAAGAACAAAGAAAAGAAAAGCATTTTAATTTTTATTTTACTTGACATTGAGCTCATTTATTATTTTTTAAAATCTTAACTGATCCATTTTTAAGTAGTTAATGCACAGAAGCCTCAGGCGAAGTCGTATGAATCCACGTGTTGCTTTAAGATGCAGCTATATTAGATTATATTGAGCTAATCTGTTTTAAAATGTAATCAGTTTGCTTCTACTGTTGAGTGCCAAGTGATCGGAAAATGGTGTATTAGTTATCATAGTATAATTAATTTGGTGTGAAAATATCAGAATATATTGAACAGCGCCCATCAGTGTACACCCAAACAAACATATTCAAAATTACTTTTTCAGGTAAAAATCCAACAATCAGCTGTCTAATTTTTAGCCACTTTTCTTTGAGCTGAGAAGCTGATCAAACAATAAATAATTCCTGCTCTGGAGGGCTGCTTGGTTTCTCACTACTTACAGTCATAATAAAAGGAGCGAGAGTGGCCCAACAGGCCCAAAGACGGTTCAGCTGCCTAAACCTTTATTCCAACTGATTTCTCACAGATTCTCATTTAATAGGAGCTCACAGCATTTCCACATGTACAGTCACAGATAGAACCTGAGATGTTTGCCCTGTTCCCTGCTGGCCTGCAGTGGAGGATCATCCCCGGCCTGAGCCCCACTCCCCCACCCCCTGATGCTGCTGCCATGCCTGCAGTTGCAGCAGGGTTTGGCTAGGGGACGCCACATGAACAGCAAACTGCTCCATCAGCACTGGAGTTGAACTTGCTCTGGACACATGACCCACAGGGTTCCTGAAGCCGGACTGTTAGTCAGTAACAGTATTTCTTCTTTATTTTCACCTCTGCACTGCAACATTAAAACTGTGAGGGATGAAGTGCCTCTGCCTGCCCTCTGGATGCACACACACTAACGATCTGTTATCAATAGATCTGCAGGATTGTGTAGTCTTTAAAGAGTTGCAGGAATCACATTTAATAAAAGACAAAAATTAAAATTCTAAAAATCCAATGTTTGTACATTCACTCTGGACTAGTTTTTCTGCTCCCTAACAGTTTGCAGTAGCTGTGAGGAACAAAACCGAATAAATAAATAAAGATCCTGTCATTTCATTAGCAGGATTGTTTCTCAAGGTCTCCGATACATGGAACTTGTTTATTCGCCGCCTCTTGCCAAACATTTTTTAACACATTCAAGCAGAAGGGAAAATAAATAAACCGCAGTCACTAGTGTAATTTGCGTTTCCTCTTCCAAAGCTAAATTTGTCATGTCTCGCAAAACACCACCCATCCTCTTTCGACTTTTTTTTCTCTCTCTCTCTCCGCAGCCGTGAACCAAATGATTCACAGAAACGCTCTATTCTCCTGCTGCGTTCGTGGCCCCATGGGAAAGGTGGGAAATATGAGATCTCCGTGTGTGGAAACCTCTTTCAGCCCTGACGTCAACACGGCCGCGTGGAAAACTTCACGCTGATCTCAGAAAACAAGCGGACAGATGTGTGGTGAGAGTCTGCCTGCGTTCTGTCCTGAATATTGTGCTGCAATTTCCCATAAAGCCTGAACGCAGCACCGTTACTCACTGGTTTTTAAATCGTTTTTGAAACCAAACAGTTATGTCAGGAACTATTACAAATATAGTGCAATTGTTAGAAACCTCAGTGAAGTCACGTATTTAGGTAGGTTAAGAACGTAGAATGTGTCTTCAAAATGAAAAAACTAACAGCATTTTTAAAAAGTGCTCAGTCTTAGTCCTTTACAGTCATTGATTCAGTTCGTGTCAGCATCCTGTAGTAAACCTGGCCTACTGATTATGCTCTTTTATTTTACTCTAACAGTAGTCTAATATATAAATGTTAAATACAGCTCATGTCGTCCAGTTTGAACCAGTTTAAGCTTCACATGTCTGCAGTAAAAGTAGTGCAGTGTTTCTTGTCCTTCAGGTCTTCCACTGAAGTACACGAATAGAGCAGCATGCAGCGGAAACACTTGAGTAAAGTACGAGTATTTATTTACTTTCCAGGACGCGTACAGTAAACATCGGCTGTATTTTGTATTTTTTTCTTTCCTCCGTGTGACTTTGAACGCAGCGTCCGTCTTCTCTCCCTTCGCCTCGGTTTGTCTTCTTCTTCTCTGCAGGGCAGGGCAGTGCGCGCGCGCGCGTCCGTGCCCGCGTGTGTGTGTATGTGTGTGTGTGGGTGCGCGCGCGGGAGGGAGGTAGGGAGGGAGGGGAGGGGGTGACGGCTTGTTCCTGGAAGAGCCCGGCCTGCCTGCAGAGTCACTCACATTCCTGGCCGGGATTCAGTGACTGAGCCAGACACACAGACACGGAGGGAGGAGGGAGGGGGCGCGCGCGCGACAGAGAGAGACCTAGACGGAGCTAGCGCGCGAGGAGGGAGAGAGAGAGCGAGAGAGAGAGAGAGAGAGAGCCACAGACTGTGAGGGGAGAGAGAGAGCGAGCGGGCGCGCGGCGGGCTGGCTCTCAGACTCCTCATCTCCATACCGTCAGAGTGAACTGCGGGGGCAGACGGAGCGCAGCGCTGCAGTCCTCGACAGCGGAAAGAGCCTCAAATAAGGATTCTGTGTGTTTTGTTTTTTTCTCCTCTCCTCCATCGAGCCGTATCGATCCTCACCTCCCGCTCCTGCTTCATTTTCGCCTACTTTGTTTTGGAATTGGACAAACGGAACTTTTCGCTTCTCTCCACTTTGGGAAGCCGTCTTCTCCTCCAGATATGGACAGTCGGCGGCGACCTGCCACAGGGAGCGAGCGGCCGGTGTTCGCTCTGTAGTCACGGGAGGAGAGCTGTGAACTCGCGTCTGGCACTTTTTTTCTTTTCCTGGATGTTTCATGAAGCGCTTCGCAATTTTGGTCAATTCTGGGACGCCGCGGATTTACCAGGTTCAGGATCGGATAGCTACTCGTGATTCCCGGTCGACAGCAGGAAGGATTTACGCTCCTAAAGTTGCAGGAAAAGCATGGAGACTGTAAGTCGGCAGAGCTTCCAGCCTCATCCGGGACTGCAACAAACTCTCAAGCAGTTTCACCTCAGCTCTATGAGCTCTCTGGGCGGACCTGCGGCTTTCTCTGCCCGGTGGCAACATGAGCTGCTCTTCAAGAAGGACGGTAAGGAGCCCGAGCCGGTTCTGCAGCATCTGCCGCCCCCCGTGATGCCGGGCCCGCTGTTCATCCCGTCGGACCGCTCCACGGAGAGGTGCGAGACGGTGCTGGAAGGCGAGACCATCTCGTGCTTCGTGGTCGGCGGGGAGAAGCGCCTGTGCCTGCCGCAGATCCTCAACACGGTGCTGCGGGACTTCACCCTGCAGCAGATCAACTCGGTGTGCGACGAGCTGCACATCTACTGCTCCCGGTGCACGGCGGACCAGCTGGAGATCCTCAAAGTCATGGGGATCCTGCCCTTCTCGGCGCCGTCCTGCGGCCTCATCACCAAGACGGACGCCGAGCGGCTCTGCAACGCCCTGATCTACGGAGGCGCCTACCCGCCGCGCTGCAAGAAGGAGCTGAGCGGAGGCTCGCTGGAGCTGCAGTTCACCGACAGGAGCTTCAAAGTCTACCACGAGTGCTTCGGCAAGTGCAAGGGTTTGTTCGTGCCGGAGCTGTACACCAGCCCGAACTCAGCGTGCATCCAGTGCATGGACTGCAGACTCATGTACCCGACCCACAAGTTCGTGGTGCACAGTCACAAGGCGCAGGAGAACAGGACTTGCCACTGGGGCTTCGACTCGGCCAACTGGAGGGCGTACATCCTCCTGGGCCAGGATTACACAGGGAAAGAGGAGAAGGCTCGTCTGGAGCAGCTCCTGGACGAGATCAAGGAGAAATTTGACTTCGCCAACAAGTACAAGAGGAAAGCATCATCCAGGGTGAGTTGATCCCCACCTAGAGACCCCCTGGAGCTCTGCTCTGTCTTCTGTATAAATTACAGGATGCACTGCAGCTCGTGTTAGTTGTTGCTGTCTTTTACTTTCCTGCTCTAATTACTTACAATGCATTATACTGAACTCCCCTTTAAGACCACGGAGCTTGTTTTTAGGTTTTCCTTTGAGTACAGTTTAATCCACACGTTCAGATGCACGAACATCCAGCAGGATGCTCCATAAAGTGTAGTGTGGTACCCTGGACCCTGCCTGGGACGGGAACGAGTCTCCAGCACAAATCCACTATCTGCCCCAGCTCCACAGAAAACTGAACATTTAGCTCTGAGTCTGTGGTTCTGGAGGTCCCAGTCGTCTACTGGGACAGTCGACAATCAGTAACTTTACATTTTAAGGGATCACTTCTATCAATATCAATATTTCCAAAGTCCACCTGGTGCTGAGTCCCGGTCCGCTCTGTGTGCTGTGTGCCTGGGTTATCACCTCCATATTGCTGCTAATTGGGCCTCATCCAGCAGTGACAACAAAACGCCTCTGGTGGCAATAAAGCCATTATTTCCCCCGTGAAACACCTTTTATACTCACGTTTATGGCTGTGTACAGTAAATACAATCTCATTTAGCCGCAAATGGCTCAATGGGAAATAGTAAACAACAGTTTTGGGGGGAGGGGGGGTGTAGCGTAGATGAAACAGACATCCAGATGCATGTTGGGATGTCATTTGTGTCCCGTCTTCACATTTCTCACACTGTTCGTAGAAGTCCTCTGGCTGCATGTGTGTGTTGTCAGTGGGAGGACTGTTAATGTGACTAAACTGTTTGTGAAACTTGTGTTGTTATTAAATGTATGTCATGTGGAGGTTTAATCCTCACAGGTGTTGGTTTTGAAGGCTTTTCTTGTGTCTGCATCCTGAGCTTCTGAAATGTTTAAATAATCTGAATGAGAGCGTCTGAGCAGGTTCTCATGCTGCATATTCTCTGTTTTCTACTGAAGAGAAGGAGTCTATTCCACGCTTCCCCGGCTCTGCTTCTTTTTTTTAACTGACTGTAGAAGTGTATGGAGGAATTATAATCTGCACTGTGGTGGAAGATTTTGCAGAGGGAACAGTTGGGTGGCAGACTGATAAAAAGAATCCCACCCCCACCCCACCCTTAGGAGAAAAAGGCTAGTGCAGCCATTTGCATGAACTGTTACACATGAATGGAGCTGATGAAGCAGGGTTTAGAAGTATTGTGGTGGAAACATAATATGATCCCAACAAAGGAGAGCATTCAGCAAACATCAGAACCCCCCCCACCCCTCTAAAAAACATCCACTGACCCCAGGCCAGCCACCCACCTCTGACATACACGCATTCACACTAATCCTCCCCCCTTGCCAACTTTTTCCTCCCATCCGACTGAAACCACGGCGGACCTCTGAGGGCAGCAGACTTGTTGATGAGGGACAGAAAGCAACTGCAAAGTGTTTACAAGCAGCTTCCCTCCACTTCTCCGCTGGGGCTTCTTTCACAAGAATTTGCCAAAGAAAGAGAAATCAGGGAGACCCTTGAAGTCCTGAAGAGTGCCAAAGTCCTGCCATGCATGGTGAATACCCACTCTTGGCACACACTTTTATTCAGACTCGAGTGGGCACACCTCAAGGACCTCCACTTTCAGGGGCCTCTTCTGTTTTTATAAGTGCCGATGGGGCACCCAAGTGTTAAGCCCAAGGCTCATTTGAGCCTATACCCAGCTTTTAATTCGACTCCTCCTTTTTTCCCTCAAGCACCGCGCTTCAAGAAACGCTAATGAGGGAATACGTGCCGGTTGTGAGTTGAGGAACATTGCTAGACTTATGACAACAGAGCTCCCTTTTGTCAGCACATTTCAGCGCAGCCATGGAACTCTGAAAATGTTCTCGGAGGATGTGAGGCAAAGCGCTCGTCGTGCCGCCTCCTACCTTTCAGCACAGCAGAAAATGCCATCATCTGTGTGTGCTGTCAGCGGCGGAACCAGGCGGATCTGTGAATATTAATGAGGCTGTTGCCAAAGTTTCAGCAGCAGTCTCGCATGCAGACAGACGCAGGAAGTGATATTGCTACACTTCCCTTCTTGCAGACGCTCTTTTGAAAGTTTCCCTCCCAGACACACACACACACACACACACACACACACGCCTAGATCTGAATCACAGACCGCTTGAGTAAAAATACGTCTTCACTTTTTTTTCCCCTGCAGTTGTGGAAGAAGTGTTAATTTGCAGTTTATTCTCCTTTCTTATCTGGGAGGATGCGGGCCACGGCGTTGTCGTAAACAACGCGAGCAAACCCAGTAAACTATCCAAGTGTTTAAATTAGTTTATGTGCTGGGTGTGGAGCACTTCTTCTTCTTCTTCTTGGCCGTGCTCATGCCAGCCCTGAGCTGCGAGTTTTTTGGTTTCTGGCTGGTACACATGTGGGTGGTACACATAATCAGTGGCTTTCCGCATCAGGATGTTTAGATAAGGATTGCGGCTGCAGATTTAGTATGTTTCTAACTTTATAATTCGCCCTCAAGATGATGTGATTTCTACACAATCCGTCTGTTTAAGGGAGATATGAGAAAGAGAATTGTGGGTGTGGGTGGGGGGTGCTGAGGGTGGAGGGGGCGCTTCTCCTGGAGCCAGCCAGAGCTTTGACTCATGCTTGGTTCAGAACCAGCAGGTTTACGTCAGAGTCTTTCTTTTTTTGGGACCTTCCTAAATGGCGAAGATCCTGTCTGTGTTCTCAGCAGCTCCTTCAGTTTGCTGAAACGGAGCAGCTTGAAGTTGTGGAGTTGATTTATTTATTTTTTTGGATGAATGCTCATTCATCAGAGGCAGTCGGTGTGTGTGCTTACATTCCAGACCTTTCCATTCCAGGCCGCTCCCTCTGAGAGGTGAAGATGTTTTAAACAACTGTTACACGAAGACGCTCCTGACTGGGCTTGAATGAAACGCGCCTCTGTGCAGGCATGTCCGTACGTCTGAGCGCCGCGCCGACTCGGCTCAAAACAGAAATGCAAATCCACATTTCCTCCTCGTGATTCATTTTTCTTCTGTAGTGGTGGGAAGTGATTGTTTGGAGATAAATGGGAATCCAGCGAGAACAATGCAGCGGGGTGGAAGCCTCTCTGTGTTTATGCTCCACATATGCGATGCTACTGTGCTGACACACAGCACATTCTTGCAGGCTGTGTCCATGTGTGGCTCCGCGTACAAAAGGCTGACTGGTCTCGTAACGCACAAATATCAAATATGGAAGTGGCGTTTTAATTTTTAGTTCTTGACGATTGTCAGATATGCAGAGGTTAAAGCTTCCCCGTTTTACTTCCACGACCAGCCCTGCCCCTGAAAAGCCCCCGCTCCTGCTTGGGATATCTGGCCTCCAGCTGAAGGGGCCGCTTGTTTCAGGAGGGGAGGTGGGGCTGCGGCGGTGGTGGGGGCTCAGAGGAAGTGAACTCCCAGAGGGGATATAGGCCATGTCCTGTTTCATATGCAAGGCGCAGTGTTGGCTAAGCCTGCTGACAGCCAGCCATGTCCACACGGTGGACAGGACAACAGCTGGTAGCTGTGCATTTCAATGGCTGCTGGGCCAATATTTCCATTCTCTTTTTAGGAGTGTTTGGCTAAATGTGAGCGTTTTAAATGTGCACAGGAGAGCTTCAGTGTGTCCTGATTGTGTGGGTGTGAGGGAAAAGTTGTTTTTTTTACAGATTCCATGCTGCATTTTCTGCTTCTCCTTTTCACTTATCACATAGTAGAGTTTGTGCTCTGGACTATGGAAAGTAGGAAGCCACCGATTCCACTGGGCCCGTGCACTGAGTTCTGCTGAGTGGGTATCTGATGGAGGACAGTGGGTCGGCGCTGCGAGGCGTGGCCGAGGGGCGGTGAAGTCAATGCCATATGGACATTCAAGTGTCTTTATATCAAGTGTGATTGAAAACTCAGCTTTCTGAGCTCAGAGTGACAGAACGACACAGAAAGTCCTGCTCAGTGGAGCCGACTTCAGGTTCTGTGTTGTGTTGCCAGTGACTGGCTCTTAATATACAATTTGGGTTGACCTGAAGGAATGAAATGGATTTTGAGAAAAAGCGCCGTCTTCTTCACCTTTTTATCGATTGTAATTACTCTTATGCTCGTGGAAATCACTTAACACAAGGATGTTTGATTAGTAGATATGTTTTTGTCCTATAAAGTATTTGCTCATTGCTCTCTGCTTTTCCAAACCTCTTCCAATGTTCTCCTTCTATGCAGAAAATTAACAGCAAAAACTACATTTATTTTGCTTTTTCTCTCCCCTGCTGGAAAAATTGCTCAGTGAGCAGAGACTTCGCTCCGAGTCTCCTCCGTGAAAACTTTGAGGAACAATAGCGCTGCGAGATGAGAAGTCAGCGCCACGGTTGTTTGATGTGTTTTTAGACGTCTGTCTCAGTCTGTTTTCACCACCGCTGCAGACGGGAGAGCCCTGCAACCAGAACCAGGGAGAACCAGAGTGGAGCAGGTTGTATAGCTCGCTGGGTTTGTCTGGAAAATTTTTCAAAAGGCTGCCATTGAAGTAGCAGTGGAAAATGAATTAAGTGCAGCGATTCTTTTCATACGGCACGTCTCCCTGCCAGAAGCTGTTTATTCCAAAGCCTTTAAACTGGTATGAACAAAAGAGCTTTTTCCCAGTTGCTGCAGGACTGGGCACCAGGGAAGGCAGCATCAGTTTGGAGTATGTTGTTGTCACTAGCAGGGTCAGTCCACGAACACCTGTGCATCATCCAAAATGCTGCTTGATAACTAACATTTACGCAGGAAGCTCGGTTGGCTTCATTGAGGCCGCTTCATCAGAGCGTAGTGACAAACCTCAGCACCGTTTTGAATTGAAAGTAAATGCCTCTGAGGAGCATCGAGTACCAAAACTAGCACCGAATATAAGATATGAGATGACAAACATCAAAGTAGCAGTGACCTTGTTCTGGTCCAGGTGTGGTGGTGCTCACTAA